GGCCATCGTGCGGGCCTTAGGTCAGGCAGGGAGACAGCAGAGGCTGGAACAAAGAGGAGCTGGGAGCGGGCGCAGGGACCCCCGCAGCTGTGGAGAGGCGAGCCCCGGGTCAGCGGTGGCCCAGAAGCGGAGAACCGCAAGCCTCGGAGAAGCAGCCGTGTCTGGTGCTGGGAGTGTCACCCCGGGGCCACTCGGCAGGCAGCCGACAGCAGGGAGACCCGCCGCGCCTCCACCCACGGCCCACCCACCGCTCGACCGGCCGCAGCGCAGCCTCACCGTCCCGCCCCGGCTCAGGCTCCGAGTCGCCGCCAGCCTTCGTTTGGGACGGAGTCTCTCTCGCTAACCCTCCGCCTCGCGTCCCGGGGACTGCGCTTCCAGGCGTACATCAGCACGCCCGGCTCGGAGCGTTTCTAGTTGCCAGCCGTCCTCTTGACTGTGTGGGGAGGCCCCTGGGGGCCCGGGTGCAGCTCTGCTGTGAGGGCCTGCCTGGCAAGCACAAGGTCCTGAGCTTGCTTCCAAGCATCAAAAAGAAAAGAAAGAAAAAAAGGAGGGGGGGCCTGGGGAGATGGCTCAGTGGAATAAGCACTTCCCTGGCAAGTGCAAGGACCTGAGTTCAAACCCCCACCTTGCGCCCACTGAGCTGGTCACCCCAGCTGCTCCTGTCCTGCAGCTCAGCTCAGCTCAGCTCACAGTTCCTGGAGGGTCTCAGAGTTATTGAAAGGGGTCCTTCACTCCACACATGCCAGGATTTATTCTGGATGGACTAAAGAAAAAATACCCCAAACCATCTCCAGACTCCACACGTTCTGTGGAGTGGCCCCACTCACCACTACCCCAGGGATCCACTGACACAGTCTCTGCTTCCTGTCCCCACCTGACGTTCTGCTGGCCTAGGAGTCCTGGTCCCAGAGAGGGGAAGGCTTGCACCAGGAAGCACAGCACCGATACCACTGAACTGGAGCCTAAGATGTCCCCCTGGTCACTCTGGTCTCCACGTGCCTCTGAGGAAACAAGCTCGAAAGGGAATCACAGCGTTGTCAGGGGTCACTGACCCAGACTATCAAGGGGAAACTGCCTTGCTATCCACAGTGGAGGAAAGGAAGGCTACACATGGAGCGCCGAGGTCCCTTGGGGCGCCTCCTAGCACCGCCACGCCCTCTTATTAAGGTGAAGGGGACCTACGACAACCTGACACAGGCACGCGGCAGGTGGTCCAGCTGGACTTCACCTCCTGGCTTCCAGCGTGGACTCCTCGGCTTCCAGCTTGGATCCTTAAGCCTTCCGTCGCCGATTCTTCCGCTTTGCCTCGCAGACCCTTTGGCTGACTAATAGAGACTTGCATGGAGCCCTCGGTGAGCTTCAGACCTCGGGCCTGCCTCCCTCCGCACGCTTCCTTATCCGGCTTTGCAGGTGACCATCATGGGCCAATCTTGTAATTTCTTGTACATTTGTACGTCTTGTGTTATATCTGTTCCTTGTATGACATCTGTTTCTCTAGTAAAACTCTGACTAATAAGATGACAAATGGCTGGGAGAACAGGACACCATCTATCTCAGGGGTTAGGTTCAAAGACAGGGCCTGGTCACCCGGAGGAGCGGAGGGTCATGGCGCTCCGAGCATCTGGGGTGGCAGGGTCTAGAAATATACACCTGGCTCCCACTTTACAGATGTGTAAGGGGCGGAACCAGCACTGTACTGCAGGCCGAGGACGCCCACACCGCCTTTCTCAGGGCCAGCGAGGCACCATTGTGTGGCTGAGTGTGCACCCCGAGTGTGCAGATTCACCTTGGGCCAGGGCCCCTCCACACCCCAGGGGTGGGGTGTCTCCTCAAACTATGAACTTCTCAAAGCTGAAGTGGAAGAGACACTTCTTCCTTACCTGTCCCTTGGGTGCCTTGGGGGTGGGCAAATGGATGTTAGGAGGAGGCAGAGAGAGAGGCAGGGCACAGCTGGACCAGAGGCCTGGGGAGACGCCGCCCTGGATGCCGGAGAGCTCTGTGACCAGCAGAGGGCAGCCTCACCCCACCCTGGCTCCTGGTTGCTGCGCCTTCGGGCTAGAAGCCCTGGAGACAAGGGTGAATCCCTCTACCCTGGGTGACATGAATTTGTCTGGGTGACTTAGGGAAGTTAAGTAATAATAAGTTTGTGACAGGTCTGGCATTTGATGCCAGCCTGACTCCAAGCCAGCTTGCTCTCTTTGTCTTTCGTGTTCTTGAACTCACTGGGTCGCCCAAACTGGTCAGTTTTTTGTTTGTTTTTTCATTTGTGTATCTGGTACAGGGTCTCACTACGCAGATCGGACTCATGGTGACCATCCTGCTTTCAGCCTCCCCAGCGCTGGCACTGCAGGCATGCACCACCACACCCAGACTCTGTGGCCCGCTCAGTGTGCCCCAGGGGCAGGGCTGGCACGACATGCAGGGCTGGGAATTGAGTCCTGGTCCCTGCGCTTGCCAAAGCAAGCTGGCACTTAGACCACTGAGCTATCTTGCCAGTCCTTGGTCTTGAACTCTATGTGGTGCAGGGTCTCACTTTGCAGCTCAGACTCATGGTGATCCTCCTGTTTTCAGTCTCCCCAGCACTAGGATTGCAGGCGTGCATCATCATGCCCAGATTCAGTGCCTGGTTCAGGGCTCCCAGGGGCAGGGCCAGTGTGGCATGTGGTGTCAGGGATCGAACTCTGGTCCCTGTGCTTGCCTAAACAGGCACTTAGTCCGCTGAGCTATCTCTCTGGCCCCAGCATTCTTCTTCTTCTTCTTCTTCTTCTTCTTCTTCTTCTTCTTCTTCTTCTTCTTCTTCTTCTTCTTCTTCTTCTTCTTCTTCTTCTTCTTCTTC